TCTTCTCTTCTCTTCTCTTCTCTTCTCTTCTCTTCTCTTCTCTTCTCATTCTAATTCTAATTCTAATTCTATTTTATTCCACATTCTTCTCTTCTCCTCTCCTCTCCCCTTCTGCTCCGTTCCACTCCACTCCTTTATTCCATTCCATTCTTCTATTCCGTTCCATTCTTCTGTTCTTTTCCATTCCATTATTCTATTCACCAACATGCTTGTTAAGTGAATCTGGCTTCCCCGCTGACTTCACAAAACGGGACCACATGATCCCAGGGACACTGCAACCATCATAAAGACAAATCACTTGCCAAGCATTCAAGTTTTGTTTGTGTGATCCCCCTGGGGGATGCTGCAACGGTCCTAAGTGTGAAAAACGGTTCCTAACTCGCTTTTTCAGCGATGTTGTAACCTGGAACGGTCACTAAGTAAGCCGAGGTCTACCTGTAGCAGCAATCAGGGTTGCAGCTGTATCCTCCTGAGTTTCAAAGATGAAATTTGAGAGAGAGAGAGAGAAGCGCTGCTGTTTGACTTGAACTTGGAATATATGTTTGCCAATGATCCCAACTAAAGCAAGCACATTAGAGATCTGCCAGGGTCTCCGTACAAAACTTGGTTGAGTACATCATTTTGGCACTATGGAAGGCAAAACCAGCCCTAGTTAATTCCTGCGCAAACCCACATTTTTACAACAGAGAATTCCCCTCCCCTCCTATTAGTGCAGGTCACATGGAGTGTCGTATTATTCTGAGAATAGAAAAACCTCCTATTAAGACTCAAATTTCCATGTTTTTTCCCTGTTGTTTTCAAATGTAGGGGTCCATGACTCACCAACGGCCAACCAACCTCATAAAACATCCCTATGCCTGTTTTAGTAGTTGCCATTAAAAAAGGGGGAGGGGGGGAGGAAGGAAATCTGGAAAAGCAGTGCAGCCGCTTGGAAGCGAAAGTACATTCCAACTCTTCTCTTTAAAAGATTGTAGCTAAAATACCAGAGCTTTTGCCCGTGAATATTATTTAATTGGAGAATGTGAATGATGACACCCAGCCCGTGAACGTGCTCAATTGGAGAATCTGATTTATGACACACCCAGGGGGAAGGGGGGAAAGAGGGTCACAGGGGACTGTCAATTATGTACGCCAGAGTTGGCTTTGTACAGGGCAGTGCCAGTATGTCGCCTCTAATGAATTTTTTGAAGTTTGGCTCGAGAATCACGGTTTCATTAAGGTGATTGCTGGTATCTTGACACTAAATTAGTGACACGGTTGTTAACTGACCATGTATCAACTCATAAAACATTCCTATGCCTGTTTTAATAGTTGCCATAAAAAAAAGTGGGGGGGAAGAAGGAAATTGGAAGAGCAATGCAGCTGTTTGAAAGCAGAAGTACATTCCAACTCTTAATCTTTAAAAGATTGTAACTAAAATAACCGGAGCTTTTGCCCATGAATATATTGAATTGGAGAATGTGATTGATGACACTCAGCCCGTGAACGTGCTCAATTGGAGAATCTGATTTATGACACACCCAGGGGGAAGGGGGGGAAACAGGGTCACAGGTGACTGTAAATAGCAATAACACTTAGACTTATATACTGCTTTATAGTGCTTTACAGCCCTCTAAGCCGTTTAGAGAGTCAGCCTCTTGCCCCCAACAATCTGGGTCTTCATTTTACCCACCTCGGAAGGATGGAAGGCTGAGTCAACCTTGAGCCTGGTGAGATTCGATCTGCCAAATTGCAGTTGACGTATGCCAGAGTTGGCTTCATACAGGGCAGAGCCAGTATGTCACCTCTAATGAATCTTTTGAAGTTTGGCTTGAGAATCATGATTTCATTAGGGCGATTTCTGGAATCCTGACAGTGTCCTCGGCTCCCACAGCTCTCCTCCTTGAAGTCCGGAACCTGTATTCCTTCTCACCCTTCCCTTCCCTACCCACCCTCAGTTGGTTGGCCAGTTGAAAAGTGATAATGGCTCCAACGTGCTTCGAGCTTGAAAATATATATATATATATATTTCTCTTTTCAGGACCCTCTTCACGGAGCTGAGGATTGTGGTTGAACATCTCATCATGAAGCCTTCGTGCCCTCTGTTCCTGCGAAGGCTGTGCGTCAGCAGCATTTCTTTTATAAGCAG